TATTTTTGGTTCAGGCTGATGGTGGTTATAAAGTTATGATGTGTCAGATAATTCATCGGCACACTCCAGGCCCTAATGATAGTCTAAGAACTAACTTTTTTGCTGACCATGTCTGACTTTTTATGACAACAGGAGAATTATCTCCTGAGTTACCTCCAGCTGGATCGTTGCGTTGGACAGCAGTTATGTAAGAAAATATTAACAATGAATAAAGGAGAAATGAAATCCCTGCTTTGTTAAAAGTTTATAGCCATCAAATTATTTTCAAGGGGTATTGATTTACCTGTAACTGCTATAGACGTTCTAGTACAGAAAACCAAGAGTGAAAACTTCCCATTCCTTGGACCACTAAAGCACATCAGATTAATGATGTTCTCTTTATCTCGGACTGAAAAAGCTTTCATATAAACTTGTACAAACAAAGTATTGTTAATCCCTTGATTTGAAATAGTACATAAAATTGTTATTCTTTAAAATCTTGTGCAACATAGCTTTATTTAAGGACACATCATCAATTTCTGCAAATCATTCGGTTAGGTAGGCTGAATGAACACATAGTGAAACAGAAGCTTGTATGCATGCAAACAGACACATTACACATGAGAGAAACAGTATGTCTACACACTGTGTGTTCCCTTTAGGGAAGAGGAGACAAATGCCAGACCATTCAAGCAGACATATGCTGTGGACACATACACACAAACTGAGCAGAGAGGGAGTGGAAAATATGGTAAGCGATAGATTATGTGTATGTCTGCTGCTGGCACTGCACTTTAATCCACTAATAAATGCTCTAAAGCTCTCTATTAAAGAAAATGTTATTTTGAAATACAATAATAGCTTATGTGCATTAAAATGATTGTCTTGTATTTTATATTAATCTTTCAAATAAATCCATTTACATGGTTATGTTTTAGTGGAGTAAAAATTTGCTCTAAGTCATCTGTAAATATGTGTGTGGACATAAATGGTTTGATACTGTGTTGTGCACTTCAGGGATCGTAATGTGCACACGTGATTCTCTCCTTGATTTCATATGCCTTTGAAGCTCAGCAGAGTGGTTTCATAGCCTTTAATTTTAATTAATTTCTTCTCTTTATTAATAACCTATGTAATTCCCTAAGTGGTTCCAACTTTTAGGTGTTGCATTAGTCATTAACCATATGCAGGCTATGTGAAAGGCTTTCTGCTGAATCAGCTGAAAACCACCAGCTGACAAGTTACTCCAATAAAGATGAAATAACTTATGAAATTAAATATGTGTGAGTCAAAAAAACATAAGAAAATTCACCAATTTGAAGCTCCCAAACACTGATAGATTGACAGAGATACAAAACAAAATCAAATTTAAAAGAAATCAAATAATTGCATAAGCTAAAGCTAATGTTGGAGTTACTATAAAAAAAAAAGAATTCCACTATAAGCTGTGGACCTGGATCATCATGTTCAGCCTTCAGAGTTCTTTACAAAGGCATCACACTCTGAAGAATTTGTGAAAGGACAACTTAGAACAATATCTTGGTGTGATAATGGGAACATATGTTATTTAGGGCAACAGTGGCGTTGGATGTAGGAATTTGCCCTGTAATCGAAGGATTGACAGTTCAAGCCCTGGCTTCGACTTTCAGTGTCGTCGTGTCCTTGGGCAAGACAATTCACCTGCATTGTCTACTGATGGTGGTCAGAGGGCCCGGTGGCGCCAGTGTACGGCAGCCCCGCTTCTGTCAGTGAGCCCTAAGGGCAGCTGTTGCTACAATGTAGCTTGCCACCATGAGTGTATGGGTGAATGACTGAATGCAGTGTAAAGCGTCTCCTGGCTTGAAAAAAGGCGCTATATAAGTACAGACCATTTACCATTTAATTCGACAATAATGGTTTTATAAAAGTTTAATTCAGAAAAGCTTATTATAGATTTTAAAATATTTTATTTTAACATGATACGCAAGAAAAGAGTATGATCCTTTTTACACCTCCTCTCAAGAAGGAAAATCTGGCTCAAGAGGTACACATCTGGTTTAAGAAAACAAACATGGCTGGGATGTTGAATCCATGCATCATTTATTCATTTGATTATCAGTGTGAGCCCACAATGAAAATGTTAGAAACAGTATTTTTTGCATTTCATTTTATAAAATAATATAGACAACATGACCAACATTTCAATATTGATATTTATATATACTTTTTTTTTATATATACTTAATAAAATATATTTACAAAACAAATGAATAGGGAATTCATTCATTTCATTTGAAATTTGTTTTGGGCTTAGCAATCTAATCTCTATGAGCCCTATCCCAATTTAACACAAACTGATGGATATTAGACATGTGCAAGCTGGCTTTATTTAGTAAATACAGTCAGCTGTTCTGGTGTATTTGAGCTGCATATGATTTGGAATGTGCTCAGGAGAATGGACTTTCATGGACCTTCTTAACTATACATGGCATCAGTGCGAGCCAACAAATTTGACAAAGGCTCTTGCATTGAGTTGAATTTTTTTCAGAAAAACAGTGCAAAGGTCTGTTTGCCTCCAATTTACAGTAAGCCAGATTTGTGGTTGCCATGACCCAGAGGCCAAAGAATTTATTTAGTTAACTTAAAAGCTCATTTAAATAGGGAGGTCGATATAAAGTGGTGGAAAGTAGCAAAGTGCATTTACTTCATTGCTATACGCATGTTCTTTTTTTACTTGTTTTTACTTTACTTGAATAATTTTTTTTGAGGAGGGGGTACTTATAACTTGCATACCACTACGTTTCAAAGTCAAATATCATTCTTTATATTCCACTAACTTTTAGAAATCTGTTAGTTACTTGTTACTTTTGTCTCAGCTTAGCTTTGTAATTTGCTGTTGCTGTTTTTGTTTCTCAAAATTTAATTTCAATATGCAAGCTAGCAGCCATTAGGACTGAATTGGACACCACTGTTTTAGAGATTTGCATGACGTTCCACAAATATGAGAAACTCAGCAGATATTATTTGGAGTTTATACATTTTATTAAGGTGTTGGTTGTTGCCATTTGGCTAAGTTGTTCAGTAGATGAGTTCTCAAAGCAGAGTTGGAGTTTTTTCTATGGCATCAGATTTAACCTTCAACCTCTATTCCATAACAAAAGTGTGAGAGAGAATTTATATGCTGAGGTGGCTCAGGTTCTTCACATGTGGTGTAAAACTTGTAGTAGAGCAGTTCTATTCATCAATACATCAGAGGGTTCCTGAAAGTTACAGGATTTTTTTGAAATTGTTCTGAAAGTTATACAGCAATGTACCGATATTATAAAACACAATTTCTATTTTCAACACTTGAGTACTTTTAAATCAACATATTTTTCAAAACCTTCTAAACTTAACTAGATTTGACTATGAGTATCACTACTTTTACTCAAGTATTAATGTTGAGTACTTAGTCCACCACTGTCCTTATGCAGCTTTCTAATTTCTGATACCAAAATAGCAGTTTTGAGGATTGACCAAAATTATCTGATTAGATATTAGCACAGATTTTAGGTATTTTTATTACCTTTTTGTAGTGTTCAATATTAGAAAAGGCTTGATCGAGTTATATTAGTCAAACAGAAAATAGTCAACAATGGGTATGAAAACAACTTATCCATGTATTATTAACCTATGTGTTAAATAAACTTTAAGCATAAGTGGAGTGTTTCTACCAACATTACTATAGTTTTTTGGCTAGTTTCGGACTGATTTCCGATATCAATATCAGACCAGGATATTCCTTTTGTTAATTTCACATTAAAACATCTTATACCACAATAATCTGTCACACTCCTATAAATACATAGATACTAAAATGACAACACTAATCTGATCCCTTAAGAGGAAACTTGTTCATCACATGTTGAACATATTTTAAGCAGTATATTGCTAAATTGGAGATTAATGTAAACATTTAATACTTCTTCTACTTAAACCATAGCAGTTGAGCACTGAAATGATCTGTGTCTACAATTACACTAAAGAATATTTAATGATCTTGGAGAATCCGTGTTCTCTTGTCAAACAGTCAGCACCATAGTGGGACCATATTTACAGTTATTTTGTTATGATATATTGTATGTAACTTTTCTCATGTATGCACAACTTCATTTTTTATGTAGTAAAAGCTTTAAATGTGCTTTTATGTTTGTTTTGTCTGTCAATAATAGTTATTTAATAGTATTTTAAATGTTTACTGTTGAGCCATACCCTGTCCAATTGAATATGATGAAATAAACAGTTTTCCAGGGCATTATGCAATATCTGACCATTTAAGTGTGATCTCAGTTTTCATACGGAGATTATTTTATGCAATATGAAACCAATAGCTTTAATTTCACTTGCTGGTATCAAATAAATGTATTTAAAAACAAAATGTTTATTTAAAATGAATCATAAGTCAGGGGAATTGAGTTTGAAATAAATATCCTTTCAAGAAGACAAGAGGTTTGATTCTGATTGGAAATCAGTCAAAAACAATGCAAAAGGAGTGTTTATGGCAAAACATTTCTATTTTTATTCATATTTATTTTACAGGTAAAAATTTGGGTTTCTTTTCCTCAATAAGAATTGTCATTTTCTGACAGCAATCAAACCCTTCTTAAAACAGCTGACTAATGCTTTGCAGCTTTTCTCCAGTATTTTGACAGCTAATCCCAGGTCTATTAAACTGATAATCTTTACCCATCATATATATTTTGAGAGAGAGAGAGAGAGAGAGAGAGAGAGAGAGAGAGAGAGAGAGAGAGAGATGATCTAAATATATAATAATAATAAGAAGAATAAATATATAAAAAGTACCCATAATCTTCTGAGTCATCAAAGATTCTGGATGGACTGTGCCAAAACTCTACTTCAAGTTGGAAGTAAGATAAAAAAAACTGACATATAACTTTAATCAAAATCCAAATCTGAATAGTCTCCTGACCTCTGTACCAACATCTCAAGTAACCGGATTAATACGCACATATCCGCACTCGTCCATGAGTAGGAGAGTAGGAGAAGCGCGTGGCGCTATTTGCAAACTTTGAGGCGCGCCGACTTTTAGTGTGAATGCGTTAGTTAGAAACTATTTGCCGGCGACTGACTTGAATGTTTTTGCTTTCACGGTGATAAGAAGTCCGGCGCCTATAATCTCATGTCTGACCGTGAGCGGGGATATAAATCCTCCACCTGCTCATCCTCGTTTCGGGGTTTGTCCTCGGTTTGTGCAGCAAGGCAACTTCTACTTCTACCACACTTTGTTACTTTGGACATTGTGTCCGCGCATCAGGAGCGTCAGGGAGTCAACACGTTTATTTCCTTCACTTAAACAGGGAACACATTAGCAGATGCGAGTGCTGTAGAAAGGAAAGCGATCTGGACTGTCAGGTTCGCAGGGAATTATTAGTTCGCCGAATCATTAGAAAGTGAAAGAAAAAGTTTGTGAGAAAGGCCAAAAGTTGAAGCAACACCATGAGGAGAGCGCTGATTGTCCAGATGTGGATAGTTTTATTTCTGGGGACTTTTAGCAGAATGGGAAATGCTCAGGTCGCCAATGCCAAGGTGCTGAGAGGCAACAGCATAACCACCGGTGAGATGGCTTTATTTCTTTTCTCTCCAATATCTAAGTTTTAAAAAACGCAGCCTACTTATTTATAGATGTGGTTGTAATATACAACAAAGACATAATGATCTGAGGTAGATATTTTATTTTGTGTAACAAATGAATGATACAGTTTGTAAATGTTCAATGGAGAGGGGAAATGAGCAACAGTTATAACCAAATAAATGTTTAACCATCCAAGCTAGCATTAAGCTGGTGAGTTATAATTGGAGGGAGATGCAATAGATTCTGCTGCAACTTTCCTAATTCACTATACAGTTTATTGGAAATTTGCCAGGATAGTTTTTCAGCACTGTAGCATGACTCTCACAAAGCCCTGGGGTTAGAGTCATGCTACAGTGGCTTTGATTGTGCACCTTCACTCAGCTGTAGGACTGCTTCCAGCTGCAAAACATTAAAATAAGCAAATATATGATATTATGTCAAGGTAGGCACCCCCTCAGGCCTGTTTGAACTATATAACCTTTAGCTGTTTGGGGGGTTCAGGTGGGGACTCTTTAGATGGCATGTTTTTCATACTCCTAAATATAGTGTTTGTAAACATTCTGTGTTGATACAACCACAAACTTTAATGTATTTTAATGGGAAGTACTGTGATAAATCAGCACAAAGTAGTACATCACTATAAAATTTAATTTTACAAGATTTTTACACAAATTCATCAAAGTAATCTGAAAGATGCAATACGCATAGGTATTTTTGCCCCCTTTACATTGATACCCCAGAATAAAATGCAGAACAACCAAATGGCTTTTAGGTATTTGCTGAGTCCAGCTGTGTATGATTGCATAGGTTTTACTGAAACCTATGCAATCATACACAGTGGGTCATCTTAGTGTAAATACAGCTTTAGACTTCAGAGGTTTGTTTGAAAATGCAAGTGAACAAATATTTGAACACATCACATCTCACTCATACTTGAAATGCATGTATGACTGATAGCAGTGCACTGTGTCACATTCTACTTGTGAAAGGATTTTGTGTAAAATAGGGCTGAAACAATTAATCAAATCAGGATTAATTAATTTTTTAAATCATTGTCAACTAATTTAGTAATCAGCTAATCATTAACTTTAGTTTAAAGCCTCTAAAAGGTGCCTTTAGCTGATAGAGGAACCCACTTAAAGCAGTTATAATACCAAAATTGTAAAAAAAAAATGTAAAGATTTTCCATTCAAGATTAAAAAAAACTTTCTAGTCCATTAATATTCTCTATCCAGAAGGCCTTAAATGATTCACTTGCTATAAATTCTAGTATAATCTCCTTCAAGAGGCTTTTTGCCATCTGATTATAAATCGATTAAAAGAAAAAGAAGATTAGACAGATTAATGGATTAGCAAAATAGTAATTAGTTACTAGTGTAAACTATTAAAGATATGGGACAAACAGCTGCACTGCAATTAAACTAAAATTAAAAGCCAACAGATGGGTTATAAAATGTAGATTTAGGAAAAAGACTAACAGTTATTTCTAGATGCAAAGAAGTTAAGTTTAAATAAAGAAAATTAACTTTTTGTAATGCATGCGTCAAAAACAAAGCTTCCTAGTAAAGCTACGGTAGTGAATAATATGAGGGATTTTTTTTATTTCTATTCTATTCATTATTAACACAACAATTTTCTTTGACAGTAACATATCTGAGAATCTTCTTCCTATTTGTTTCATTTGTTTTTGTTCAAATCTGATAAATGAAAAAATTTAACATTTACAGTATGTGAAAAAAGATATATGCACATTCAACAAAACAAAAATGTGCAGACTGTTTTCAAGAAAGTCAGGTTTTATAGATTCAAAAAGGCAAACTTTTAAGAGGAAGTGGTCTAGAATGCCTGTTGATATATATAGTAAGTAATTAGAGTTTTTCCTTACAGCCTTCTGACAGCTACTTACATGTTTACTAAATATTAATGTTTAAAACTAAGGGTCGAGTGAAGCCAGAGTCCTTTACTCTGTTTAGCATTACTATAATATTTTTGTAGAGATTCTTCTTTACCTAAGAAAGCTTTGCTATAATGCCAGCTATGCCTCTAAATATGTTTTGTTTTGTTTCCTTTGAGGTGTTGGTTTGAGTAGGAGGTGGCAAAAGTTGAAGTTAGGAGTGTGAATAGGCTTCACCCTCTCAGGAGGAATCACAAAAAACATCCTTATATTCGTTGTCAAAAGAGCTAGTCTCTTGGGAACGTTTGTGTACACTCTTTAGTTCAGACCAAGAGGTCACTACTTATATTAATTAGTATTATCCAGTAACACTATTGTGCATCTGCTTTGCACTTCAGTGCTGTTGCAGGGTATGCTGCCTCTAGTGAAAAACACTCTGTGTTATACTGCACAATACATAGCTTGAGTGCAGTAGATTTTTTAAAAAGTGACATCACGGCAAAATTAACATATACTTTCCTTATACAGAAGAATACCTTGATTTGACCAAAAAGACAGATACACTTCAATACATATAGACAATTCCATAAGTGATACGATTATGTCTTGTTTATAAACTTGTTAGGATTTAATGTTTTTTTTATATATGTTTTTAGTTAAGCCAAAGTAAATTGCAAGTTAAAAAGATATGAACTTAACTAAGGATTAAAAAATAGGATACAAAATAATTGGTTACTCTACTTGACATCCATAAATGTTGACCTGAGTTAAGATGCACCGTACCATTTTCTTTAAGTCTAACAAAAATGATGTCAAATGACTGTGTAACTTTAGTGCTGTTTTGTGCTAAAAGCATTGTTTATCACTTTAAAAAAAAAAATTTTTAATTCATCAATAAGTAATTTCATCCAGTCTATCCAAATTTGCAAAATCTAACAAAAATGGCTTCAAGAAATTGTGGCATTTCTTTGCTGCCTAATTCGTTTTTTTTTTTTTTTCTCCACTATTTCAAATATAGTATTAGTTTAGGTTTATGCGATCAAGAGGTTGGGCCTCTGTACTGTTAAAAAGTAATGATCGACTGCATAAAATTAGTGGTTTTACATTGATAAACTCTGTCAACTTCTATTACTCTTCTTAGCATAAGAATAATAATAGTATATGTACATGCAGCGGCGTAGGAAGCGGGGGGCAATATAAAAGCCAGGTGGATATGTCCCCCCCAAAAATTGTACCGCAAAATATTAGATTTTGACATTTTTTTTAAGTAGCGTGCTTTTATTTTGAAGGCGCAGCATAGCGTTACGTCACTGTACTCCCCCTCCCCTCTCTGAACTGCTGAGTGTTTGAGCACTCAGTCAGCAGGGAGGGAAACGGCGACACAGAAATCAGAAACTTGTGAAAGAGGTAAAATAGTCTGTCGGGATGCTGCTATGAATATTGCCCATTTATAACGTTTTGTTTTTAGTTCACTTTCATATATAGAAACTGAATCTTTTTGGTTTAGTCATCTTAGTCTTGTATGGAAGAGGATTAGGGCCACTGGAAAAAAAAGTTAACTGATTTTTACATTTTTTTTTAGTTTAACATGGGGAAAAAAGTCAGAATTCTGACTTTTCTCAGAATTCTGACTTTTTTCTTCTGACTTTTTTCTCAGAATTCTGACTTTAATCTCAGAATTCTGACTTTTTTCTCAGAAATCTGACAGATGATTAATATTTCTAATCAATTTACAGTGTTTTTATTTTTTTTCGGGGGGTACTTATACAGATACATAAAAACAAGTAGGTCTAACTAAAAAATAACCAGAATATATGTTTAGAGTAAAGATTGACTACTTGTGTTTACACAAGCACACAATTTCAAATCTGCTGAGCTTGCTGTGCAAGAAAATGTAAAATATACGTATAAAGAAATATAACAGGAAGTACTGCTAATACATAAACTAAATGTTAAATAATGTAGATATTGGTTTAAAAAATTCTTCAGATTTGGAAATTTGGAAGGAATACATAATTTTGAAATTAATCAACAAATCTGGTAAAAAAAAACAACAACAAAAGAAATAAAAAATAAAAGTTGCACTTTTTTACTTGAGGAATTTGTTGAATAACTTCATAATTATGAGTTTAACTAGTTGGAGGTAATGCTACACTTCTCTGCTTCCTGTCCTGCTCATAAAATGTAAACATTATAAACCCACCATCCATTTTCTACATTATTTGGAAAACACAACACAAATGTAATATAACAAAAGTATGTTTAAAAATAAACATGTTAGCATCAAGCCATAGCCATGTCTGTTTTAGAGACTAGCTCTCTTCTGCTCCTCCATTAATGAGGGGACCCCACGGGCACGTAAAAAGTTGCCTAATTCCGTCATTTTCCACCAATGTGTCACTGGCCCTCTCAAGCAACTCACATCTTTGTCAGTGAAGCTGAGTGCTCCACATCTCTTCCTTCATGGTGACCATCTACATTAAGATCCAAAATTCTGAGAAAAAAAGTCAGAATTCTGAGAAAAAAAAGTCAGAATTCTGACCTTTTTCCCGTATTAAACTGAAATGAAATTAAAAAATCACTTAACTTTTTTTTTTTTTTCAGTGGCCCTAATCCTCTTCCGTAGTCTTGGGATGATCACTCATCCAATATTTAACTGCTAACTTTCTCTAGACGTTTGCTACGCTAGCCAAAATGTTTTTTTTTTTTTTATATATCTCATTTCAGTACAATGCCACCACCAACTAAAAGGCTGAAACAGCAGTAGGACTTACTCAGATTTTTTTAAAAAGAGAAACGTCAGTGTGAGTTACAGTCACCTAACACAACTTGTGTTGAAATTAGCCCGGTCTGGGCGTGCGTTTAACAAGGATTTTTTTATTTTTTGCGTGGTTTTGATTCGCCGAAATTGACAGATGTTATACCTGCCGCGCTCCTGATCGTTAGTTAAAACCACAGGGAGAATTAATTTTAATTCTTAGCAGCGGCGGTCGCATTGGTTGTGCAGCAGTCCACTGCACAACCACTAATTAACCAACTAATTAACTTCTGCACCTTTATTTCCTCAAATAAACTGCTGGCTCCTCTT